TTTTGTTTAAATGTCTGTTATGTCATACTTTTAGGGCTTATAATTTAACTGAGTTTAAATTGCAGTATACCCTGTGTTAATAGAAGTATTAAACATTCACTTACTATGTATTCCTCTGACAGGTATAACTCTGCAATTAGCAGTGCAGATGACCGTAGCCTGTTTCGCCGTCTGAAGCTTAACTATGCAATCTTTGATGAAGGTCACATGTTGAAGAACATGGGTTCTGTACGCTACCAGCACCTAATGACAATTAACGTAAGAGATTTTTTTTTCTTTTTTTTTTTGAGTAGTCCTACCCTCCGTTTACTCGTGGGGGCATGATGAAATTTTGGTCTGAAACAAGAAATAGAATTCTTAATATAAGGCATTGTATGTTACAAATTTAGGAACATGATTGCATGCAACTAAATGCCAGTCTGGATATAGAACTAGTTCGTACTTTGGTAACTGTAAATGGAGATTTATTTCCCAACTAAATATAAAGCATCTTCTTCTTACAGGGTCTCTCTAAGGTAGTAGTCAAATTTTAGAATTTTGCTTGAGCTCAAAGTCTTGCACTGAAATACAAATTGTCTAAGATGCAATAACCACCTGTAAGTAGTTCTCAAACTATAGAAAAGAAATTGTGCCAAAATGATAGGGTACTTGGGTGTGTATGAAGGGTTTACTACTCTGGTTAATATAAATCATACAAATTAAGAGTTGTAAGAGGTATGTGTGTGCAGTTCTAAAAAGAGACAATAATTATGCTGATGAGCTGTTTGTTAACCTATTTGAAAACATGCCACGGTCTAAAGTTGGGGGAGGAACAAACATGAGGATTTCAGGAATCACTTTTCAACTACAATTGACTTGAAAAGAAGTAAGGTATACAGCAAATCTCATGAGGTAAATTTCCAACTTAACCCTTTCAAAAATTTCCAGGCAACCCAGCATTTCTTGCAGAAGAAGCAAAATGTGGCTGTAAGAAAGATCATCCATTCAGAAAACTTGAGGCATGTTACTAGGTGGGGCCATGGTGAAAATTTCCACATGGCGTGCTCTGCTTATTTTGTTAATAAACTAACATCACTGGAAACTAGTCCATTTGATGCATATTGTGGGCATGAAATATATGGTTGAAAAAAGGGATAGAACTGAATGCTAAATTCCTGTCTTCTGTGACTTTTTCAGCACAAAATTTGCCTAAGCTATTCTTTAGAAGGAAAATGTTAATTCCTCTGGTATTCATTTCATGTTATTTTTGTGACTTTTCATATTGACCGAATAGGCGAAGAATCGTCTGCTGCTAACAGGCACTCCAGTTCAAAATAACCTGTTGGAATTAATGTCTCTATTGAATTTTGTCATGCCACATATGTTCAGTGGTAGCACCAGTGAAATCCGGAGGATGTTCTCTTCAAAAACAGTAAGCAGTAAAAATACTTCTTATTTCAAAAGGATACTTCCATTGCTGTAATGCTCCTCTTTTACGCAGTTTGGTTTAGTTATTATTTAGTTATTCCCAAGTTTTGGGAACTTGGTACACCCTTGAAAACATCACATCCATACAAACTAAACCAAATGGGTGAAATTGTATTGTAGCTCAGTGTCCCAAAACTCTTGAAATTTTTGGTTACATGAGACCAAAGGAGGGCACTTTTTTCCCTTCTCTGGCTCCTGGGTGATTGTCTCTCAGGTTGGAGCATGCAAACTAAGTAATAATAATGGCATTAATAGAGTTGAGAATTTTCACATTATAAAACTTTGAATTTTTTTCTAATATTTTTCTTAGAAAGCTGCTGAAGAACACAGTATATATGAAAAGGAGCGGATTGCTCACGCGAAGCAGATCATAAAGCCATTTATCTTGAGAAGAGTAAAGGATGAGGTAAATCTGTTAACTTGCAGCTATGCTAATGAATCTGAAGTGGTGGTGTAGCCATGTTGGTCCCAGGCTATGGAAGACAAGGTGGGTGAGGTAATATCTTTTATTGGACCAGCTTCTGTTGTGAAGAGGACAAAGTTTCGAGCTTCACAGAGCTTTTCGTCAGGTCCCTCTGTGAAGCTTGAAAGCTTATCCCCTCCATAAACAGAAGATGGTCCAATAAAAAATATACCTCACCCAACTAGTCTCCCTCAATGAATATGAAATAATTTTATTTTTGTAGTGTAAAACATTGAGAACTCTTTTAAAAGGTAACACAAGAACTTAATTTTAGGAAACTTAATAGCAGTGAAGATATTGAAAATTCTTATAGTATATGCAAGAACCTTCTGTAAGGTTTGGGTGACGTTTCCTTGAGCCTCTGTCCCCTACCTTAGACCCAATCAGTCCACTTCTCCTCATCACCAGAAGTCTACAACTCCTTCCCAACCACCCACCCCACCCCAACAAAATGAGGCTTCAGCTACTTCTCTTCTTCCATGAGTTACTCTTCTTTTCCTCATAGAACTTTACTTTTTGCCCAGACTGTTTCTGGTGCTTATTTGTTTCCTGCCTCTTTCTGTTTACAGCATTGTAAGTGATTGTTCCGATGGCATCTCTGAGATTTGCTGTTCTGTTAAGCTGTAGCCAACAAATGAGTGGCCTCACTTATCACAAGTGCTATTCTGCTTCACAGTAACATCATTTTAATCAAAAGATTAACTGCATATATATGGTATAGCTGCAACTGTGGGTTTAAAGTATCTTGGGGTCCTCAAAGCCTTTTTTGTTCTGTTTAAGAACCCAAAGACCATTAGGGTGCTTGGTTCTGTCCCTGGTAGAAGTAGCTTGTCACTGGCCCCTTCCATCTAGGATTGCCTGCATGTAAGAATCGAACAAATTATAACAGCATTCGCATTCTAATGTGTAGAAATTTGATCTTAATCTTGCTGACATTTCTTCTTTCCCTGTTTGTTAATGTGTTCCCTTCACTGCTTAGTGCCATCTGTTACTAGTTAATCAACGAACCCTAAGCAGAGATTTGTCTGATAAGTAGGAAAATACTTTAAAAATATTTCTTCAACTTTGAAGTCTATCGACTTCAATTCTTAGGACATGATTCGAAGTCCATTACGGTCAGTGAAAAGACTTAATGGTTTTTAATGGTCTGTTGATCAGGCCCCTAAAGAGTTGCTCTTAAATACACATTGTTGCAGTTCACCTTGTGGGCAAAGCACAATTTCAAACCATTCAGAGTAATCATTATTCACTTGAAATTTTTATCTTGTCTCATCAGGTCCTTAAACAACTACCCCCCAAAAAAGATCTTATTGAGTTGTGTGATATGTCAGAGAAACAGGAACAGCTGTACTATGACCTCTTCAACAAACTAAAGAAATCTATTGACAGCCAGGGTATGTGAGGGTCTGGTTGTTTTTCCCAAACTGTCTCTTAAATTGTACTAAGTTTTTTGATTTGTGGAAACATCCAATACTCATTAGTTTTAGAAAACTCAGGTCATAGTTGCATAGATTTCAATTGTTCAATTTTTTTATTTGTGTCATTAAATCAAATGTGTGGAAATGATGGCAGTATTTTTTTGGTCATAGAAAAAAACTCAGAAATGGGCAATGTCATGATGCAGCTGAGAAAAATGGCAAATCATCCTCTCTTACACCGCCAGTATTACACAGCTGACAAACTGAAGATGATGTCAATGCTTATGCTCAAGGTATGCTCATAGGATTCATAAACATACTGTAACTTCTCTGAATTCTTCTTTTCAGGATCTTGAACAACAATGTTTGCGTGCCAGTCACTTGATCAGAAGTACCTATTTGTAAAACTTTATTTCTTTAGATTTTTCCAGTTGCATTTATCCAATGCCCAGATTTCATTGCAGACATTTTAAAATTTGAAAATAAACTTCCAGATCAGCTTTAAGAAGACTCGCTTAGGAAAGACATTTCTGGTCCCACATTAGACCACTTTTCGTCAGCCCTGTCATTTTCTTGGTTGACCCTTCTCCTTATTACATGAAAAGCTTGGGAGAAGAATTGGGTCTGCCAGCATTTCCTGAAGGTCACCAAATGTGGGCTGTAGAGAACCGAAGTGGGGAAAGCGTATATACATGAACTATCCTTTTCTTAATTTGGCTTTGATTAACTCACACTGTGTTTTGGATTAGATCTCTTTTTAAAACAAGAAAATTAAGAATCTGAAAATATAATAGGCACCTTAATAAAAGTATAAATAACAGGTTTCAGAGTAGCAGCTGTGTTAGTCTGTATCCGCAAAAAGAAGAACAGGAGTACATGTGGCA